ACCTCAAAGTGCACAAGCTTCAAACTTTAGCGTTGGCTGCGATTTTGACGCTGAAATCGCGTTCGGTGTGAACGCAGCATAAATCTGATGGTAGTTTGTGAGCCTTTGACTCAACGTGGAACTTTCTTCTCCGGTTGTATGGAGATGCTGAAAAACTACATTAGCTTGTAAAATGATGTACTGAGATGTATACTTTGATAAAGGTTCTTGGTAGTAGTATGCTCAGTTTTTTATCTATTGCATTTGATGTATGGATGTGTGTGTTTGTTAAAAAATAAAACTCAGAAATAAAATAATAAAATTTCAAGAAAAAAGTTTAAGACTATGGCATTTAAAAGCCCAAATATTCGTAAAAATGTGGACTCAGAATCACTTTCTGTCAGTTATCCCATGACCTCCTGGTGGCTATATTTTCTACATTTCTCAAGTTCTAAGAAAAAAATCTACAAATGATTGAGTCCTCAAACTCTGATCCACAATGTTGTAAAAAAGCTCACTGTACATTTTTATGATGGGGTATGTTGGCCGTTATTCTGTTGATAAAGTACATATGTAGAGGGCCTCTGAAAACTGGAATACAACCACTCCACCATCAGCATCACAGGGAGGTCATAGGGTCAAAAATGACTTTGATTTAATTTAAGAATTTCAGAATGAATGTTTCTGTTCACCTCCCAGATCCTCTGGAGGATGTAAGAAGCAAACGACGGCATTCCTGGAGGACCACCAGCAAACTCCATTAACATAGTCAGCAGCTTGAAGAAAGGGTTAGCAGTCTGATGGGAAAATAAACAGTTATATTTTATATCTTCATACTTTGAAAAGTAAAAAATGTTGTATTTGCATACAAAAAAGGCTGCCTACCTCAGGAGTGAGCTTTGCGATAGAGGTGAAGAGCATTGAAACAATCTAAGAAGAAAGTCCACCATTAGGTCAATATGTAACAAAAAATAAAATAAAATAAAATTAAAAACCCTTTTAGCCTCCTTATGTGAACTTAAAATACAACCAGCTCTCCTATTCAACACTCAGCCTGTTTTCTGTAAACCTACATGTTCAGCCAGACGGTTGTTGTAGCGACAGAGGCTAAAGATGAGGTTACACGTCTGTCTAATATTGATGCCATCCCTGATGTGCTGAAAGAGGAAGGGAAAGCCTTTCCCTCCTGTCAGTGCTGTCATGTCACTCTGAGACAGAGTCAGATGTCTGCATAGAGATGACACAGAGATAGAGAGACAGTAAATCAGACTGAACACAGCACATTCACTCCATCACATCTGMATCCTGTTCTCCAACCTCTCAGAGCGAGACTGCTCCACTAGCAGAGCAATGAGAGCAATCATTTTCTCCAGAGCTGCAGGACGGTATTTCTCCTCAGCAAGAGACAGGATGTCCTCCTCTTCATCCTCCTCCTCTGCCTCCTCCTCTGACAGCACCTCCACCTGAGGCTGAGGTAGCAAATTTGACATTTATCACTGAGTTTTGTTACCCACATTCTTAATATGTTTAAGAGATTTGGACACAAATAAATGAAGGAAGCAATACAACAGCTAACATCAATGTATGATGTACTGTATTTATGAGTGTATAATGTGCTTAGAGTATAATGCGACCCCCATCTTTTGATCTTAAGTATTTTTAAAAATCTAATCCTTGTGTATAATGCTAACCYTAGTTTCATACAGACTTCAGGWTTTTTCAGCCTTTGTGGTGTACCCTCTGRTGGGGAAACGTTATTTTCGGGATACACACTTGTGAACGTTTGTGGCAGAGGAGGAGCAAAAGCTGTGGAGCTGCAGCACATGCTTCTGTATGTCGCTAATTGTTAAATTAGCAAGATGGATTTAAGAGCATGAAACCATGCAAGAGACGTGTATGTGTTCTCTTCATCGCCATCGGTTCATTCATTGGCTAACAAAAAAATAACTTTTTTACTCCTCCGACTCTGGTTTTAAAACAAATACTGTTGTTTTTTAAATGTATGCTTATCATGACGTATAGCAAGAGAGAGGGAGAAACTATGATTTATCCCCAGCAACACAACATGTACTTACTACTTTAGAACATTAAAAAAAAAAAAAAATATATATATATATA